TACAAGTGCTATCAACAGAATCACCGCCGTCACCACCGTCGTATACATTTTACCATTGCGCAAGTTTAAAATAATTGCGGCAACATCGTGTCCGGGAGCCCTTGAACCCGATTCGAGAACTCCTTCAACAGCAAGTCATACAACCGCGGGATGTCCAAGTAATCTGCCACGTGTCGTGCACGTTGCAGAAATTCCGTGCTTGCACTCTTCACGAACTCCCGTTCCCAGTCATATCGAGAGACGAGGCGGTACATTCGAAATTCCCTGAGTGGGACCACCGCGGTATCATCGGGATAGTAATTCAGCTTTTCAAAGTACCGCACAAACCATTCAAACACGTCCCGCGGTACTTCTTGCAAGAAGAGCTCGCCGCTTTGATGAGTGTTGGGGAGGTCGTGGTAGAGGTCCTTCACCAAGTTCGAATGATAAAGCATGGTCACGTCGGCAACCCAGACAGATTCCGAGTCTTTAAGATGTACCTTCACCTTCCGGTCCCTTCGCTTCGGTGGTGGAGTCCGACTTCGATCCATGTGGTTTGGGTCCGCGTGTGGGTTTCAATTTGGTGATGTGGATGTATTTGCCCGTGTTCTTTGCCCGGTTTCGCACCACCGACTGTATTTTGGAGACCGTATATTCCGCGGTATCGTAATATTCATTTAATTGGTCCGCAATGTCCTTGATCGACATGCAGTAAAACACATGGTCCTCCTGCCGTGACAAGGGATTCAGCACCACGCACTTCCAATATGCATTTGAATCCATCTGCCTGCCATACCCCAACAAAAAAATATTAGTGGTTCATCTGTAATATGGTCCACCACCACGAGTTGCTCACCGCCATCATCATCGCGGTGCTCTTCCTCGCCCTGCTGTGTTGGCTACGTCCCTTCTACAGCACTCGAGCCAACTTTGTCGCTTCCAATGCCTACCTGCCCACCGATATTGCTTCGGATTCGTGGCGCCATAAAGTGCAAGACTTGACTACCTTTTTCCAAACCATTTCCAACTCTGGTCTTCAAGTCGCCTACAACCAGTACAATCAAATCGCCACCCTCGAAACCGCGCTCAACCAACTCGGCCAAGGTCGGTATGCATTCAAGGTTCTCAGCGTCGACGACAGCGGCCAGAATCTCCAATATAAACAGGTCGTGGTGCAAGACATTGACTCGGGAGTGACCGTCACACTTCCTGAAGTCCGATTCATTCCCGCGGAAAAGGATCCCGCGACCCTGCAAAAAATCATTATTGTGCCCCCAAATTCACCCACATGGGTTTGGGGTGCCCCGTCAACCCCGTGGAACTGGTTTGAACTGTCCAACCCGCTGCACCTGTTTTATCCTTTCTGGACCTCGTGGAACGATATGGTCATCACCCCAGAAGATATCACCCATTTCAATGTCGTCGCCGAAGAGAAACTAGTTGCGTTGCAACAGTTTCAGCATTAATTTGTGCCGGGTCGTATGAGACAATCCCGGGCCAAACATCACGCTTTGCACACTGGCACAATCCCCGCGTTCTATCAAGGCCTGCAGACTCGCCCAATATTGCATTTCACACAAGCTGTGGATAATGCTGTGAAAGCAATCAAACTGGTACCCAGATCGCACCAGCAGCGTCACCGTGCGATCCGACATGCCCAGGAGATCCAAGACGGTAAGAGGATTCGAGCACCTGAACGGAACCACCGTCCCTGACCCTTTGATACCTAGCTTGAAGGAGAGATGTTCGGCCAAAGCCAAATTCGACGCCACCAAAGCCGCATCGAAAACCCGGTCTGTCAGAGTCACCCCAGCCTCCACCAAACAGGGCAAGTCTTTGACCGACGCGTATATACCAACGTGCCATTCATACTCCCGGTTCTGGGCAAATGGCACCATCTGACAAAACGAATCATACCGGCTCAGGGCCAAAAAATGACCCAGTGTCTTAGTCGTGGGCCGAATCCCGCACTCTGAAATCAAATAATCTTGCACCACGGTCTGCTGATGCAAACAAGCCAGCGACAGACACAACTGATTGGGAACCACGGTACCGTCTTTGAACAAGGACAGTCGATCCGTCACCGCACACATTTCCGCCGTAAAGTCGCGATGGATGTCGCACACGGCAAACATCCAGATATTCCGAAACAGCCGCAAACGACATCGCGTCCTGATTTGCTCAAAGAACATTCGACCGCCTTTCAAGTACGACAATCGAACGGAAGAGTCAAACGCATACGCATTCATCACCAATTTAAGGTGCGTTTCGGGAGTGATGCTCATGTCGTACACATTCAAGAGATGGTCCACTATCGTCGGCTTATTGTGCAACAGTGCAAAATACAGCGTCTTTTGTCGGGGCTTTAATCGAGGTGTGTGCTTTAAAACCCAGAGCATCAGATGATAGAACCCACAAGACGCACAAGTATCTATGATGGTATGCTTGTTGAGCGTGAGCCCATGGTTGAGGGTCAATGCCTCATCAAACCAGATTTTCAACAACGACGCCCGTGGTTTACAAGTTGACCCTTGCCCTAGATATCGATCAATGTCCTTTAACGGCAAATATTTCCACAGATCATCATCCATTTACTCCTTGACTGTGAATTTTTCTACTCCACCACAACGCGCGAGGTCCTTGCAATGAACGTGCAACGACCACACCGGAAACCATCGCAAATCATGATGGTATCGCATCATGGGAACCGCATACCCGGACACATCGCTGACCCATTGAATCTCAAAATCACCCACGTTGTACAAGGCATCCGGGTTGATGAAACCCGCCAAGTCCGAATGATACCGCGGGTCGGTGCCAAAAAGATATTGTCCCACTGCCGCGGCATCAAACACGCCCTGGAAGTATGAAAATTGTTCGCAAAGGTCCACAGGGCGAATGGGTCGACTCTTGCGTTTGGACACCCGACATGATTCCGGATACCACGGAGGCACCACCGGTAAACTGGGCTGATGCCGCATCCGCATAAACTCGGACACCATTTCCATATCGTTCTTCAACCGCGGTATCAGACCATCGTAATTCTTGCCACATTGCAGCATGTACTCTGTGAAATCGCGGGCAATATCGGCTGAAGCAACATAAACGAGTCCCGGAACACACCGCATGTTAGTATCGCGGGGTGCCGTCAGTTGAAATGGTTCAAACAAATCAGGAGTGAGCCGCCGGAACAGTAACACATCATTTTCAAGATGGATTACATCCCGCAACCCGTAATCCGACATGAGTGCTTCCACATGCAGAAATCGTTCCACCGTCCATCGACAAAAACTGGGTTGTCCGGCAAACACAGAATGACATTTATTGGTTGCCGCGGTCGTGTAGGGAGCCACGTGTTGTACTCCAAGTTTCAGCAACTCGATGGGGCTGGTTTCTGCTATCAAATAGACTCGTTCCCGTGGGTGGTATCGGCGTAGTTGCCTCACACAATCGACCGCATACGTCGGCACCGCTCCTCCGAGATGCACCAAGACAAAAGTGACGTCGCTGGAGTCGGGTCCGCGGATGCGACTCTTCCAGTAGGATGTCGACAATGTATTTTTCGGGAGCACCATGGGAAAGGTTTGTCTCTCCAAAAGTTCTGATGTGACTTGCGAAAAATCATTTACCATCACCGCGGGAACATCACTCAGGTCCACGAAATGCTGTGTGCTGATGTGCACAATCGGAATGGCTCCCAAATACAAGGCTTCCCAAATGCGGTGACAATCCGGGCCATTTCCCGGTGGACACACAACAAATCGTGAGGACTTGATGGCCTGCCAATACTCCCCTTGCGGTAGCGAATCCCGCATTTTGAACCCATTTTGAATTAAAGCATCCCGGATGGGCTCACGCACCGCGGCCTGCGTTTTCACCTCAAAATTCACATAGACTTCTGTTTCGGGCATCGCGGGCCCCGGCGTCTTGAACACTTGTTCAAACACGTCCAATTGCCCGTGGTACCACATGGAATTGGCCAGTCCAATGGGAATGGGCACCAACTTGGGGTGCGAAATGCTGGTGACGTTTTGGGCAAACCATCGTTCCAGACCGCGGTGCGCTAAAATGGGTTTAGCATACCCGTCCGGGACATGGTCGGAATTATGAGTCACCAGCACAAAAGGTGACTGTAATTGCGGCAACACTTGGTCCACAAACAAGTCCAAATGATGTGTGTATACAAACAACACACTGCGAGCTGCTATCTCTGGTACCGCGGTGGTGCCATAAAACCATATTTTCGGACTCCGCGGGGCAGACCGATGGAATGCAACCGTTTCAGGGGTGGTGAACACCCAATCACACAGGCTTTGGAAAAAGTCACCCGTTACCCACATATTGCCTATTTCCGTCGGGCTTTACTAAACCCTCCATTTGGACGCACCGTCACCATGGCCACCATCCATTGACCTTGTTTTGCACCCGCAGCACCCGCTCTTCCAACTGTTTCACCCGGGTCTCAATGTCCACAATGTCGGACTTCATCTCCTTGCGGGAACTCTCCTGTCGGTTCTTAAAGGCGCTGTTGAATTCTGATTCAATTTTATTCACTCGCTCCTCTATTTGTCTTATACGTTCTAGTAGGTGGTTCACCTCGGTGTCCATTCCACTACCTACTCCCATGGCCAGAAAATAATTTTTCCCGTTCCATTACCAAATGACCGGAGAGTGGCTGGAATTTGGTACGGAAGACCCAAGTTCACTGCGGGTGTTTGCTTTCAAAGTGGTGGTTTTGACCATGGTGGGTGCGCTTCTGGGCATTCTGATTGACAAGACGGTTGCAGTGTGTCAGTCCCGCGGCATCCTAGGTGCCCGTGTATGGCCGTATGTGTGTTTGCAACTTGGCTTCAACATTCTGGTCTCGTGGACCCTGTTAAAGGTGGCCCACCCGCTAACCCGCGAATTGCAAAATACCATTGCGGGATTGTACTTTGTTTCGTTCTACATCGGGCTCCAGACCACATTCACCGCCAATCTGTCGTCATTTATTTTCTAGCCCTAGATGTAGAGCTCGTAAGATGTCTCCCTCTTGGCTCAACACCTATATCGACGGAAGTCTCATTTACCAAGACAAGAACCCCAATTGGGCCAAAATCGATAACGTCGTGCTCGGCGATTCCTCCGGCTTTGGCTACCAGACTCTGGGACCCAACATGGACATTTCCACTCAATTGACGTACCTGCAAAACGACCCCAACGCCGTCGTCCTAGATTACTGCTGGTCCAACGGTTACGGGTATGTCAAAAAGGGATTTAATCCCGGCATTGCCGGAGATGTCTCCCAGAAATCCGGATTTACCAGTTTCATCAAGATCGCGGCGTGTTCGCCCACCGTCTTTTTGCCGCTCAACCAAGTCCCGCCGCCGCCACCACCACCGCCACCGGCGCCACCCGCGGTGCCCTTTGTGACTTGGAACGGAAGTCAGTTCATGTGCAACGGCAGCCCCTTTGTCCCAGTGGGATTTAATGCCTATTGGATGGCCTTCACCGAACAATACGGCTACCCACCTCATGCCCAAGTGGACGAAATGTTCTATGTCGCCCAGCAAATGCAAGCCACCGTCATCCGCTGCCTTTCCCTCGGTTGGAGCTCAAACTATTCCAACGCCTTGATCAACAGTGACTTGACCATCAACAACAACGCTTGGCCCGCTATTGACTATATTTTCTACAAGGCCAACCAAACCGGTATTAAACTGATTGCGGATTTGACCCAAGAATTCACCTACGTCCCGGGCGACGTGACCGCCTTCACCAATTATTACGGCCTCAGCGCACCCGACTTCTTCTACAACTCCACCGTCATTGCCGCCTTTCAAAACTATGTGGCCACATGGCTCAACCACACCAATCAATACACAGGTGTGCAAATCAAGAACGACCCAGCTCTGTTTGCCATCGAACTCGGAAACGAGCTCGGCAACCTCCGTTCCAATGTCAATGCCAACACCATCCCGCCTCAGTCGTGGCTCCAGTCCATGGTCACTTTTATCAAGAGCATCGACGCCAATCACCTCATTCTAGACAGTTCGGATGAATGTCTGGGTTCCGGCACATCCAATGACTTTGCCGTTTCTGGCTTTGACATCTTCCAAGGTCATTTCTACTGGGAAGACTATCACCGTCTCAACAGCGGTGCCAGTGGTGCCGCGGCCAAAGGAAAACCCTATATCATTGGTGAATATTCCAGCCAGTTTGGCCAGGACTGGTTTAATACCATCGAAGCCACGCCCAATGTCAAGGGAACTATCTTTTGGGACATGTATCCTCATCAAAACGGTACCGCGGGAGGTGCAGAAGTTCCGCATAACGACGGTTATACCATTTATTACGATTCCAACTGGTCCAGTCAATTGTTGCTCTTAACCAATCACATGCGTCGCATGCGAGGTCTCCCTCAAGTCAGTTCGGTGCCGGGACTCATTTGGTAGGGTAAGGTTAATAAAATCGCGCGTAAGATCACGTAAGATCACGGCCCGCGGTGGTAAATAAATCGATTTTGTCTTGCGCTGTTCAACCGTCGCTCTTGAAAAGGATGTAGTCTGTATTGTTGTCTGTATTATCTTATCTCTAATAAACACGCGTCTGCTGCAGGGGCAACGCCACACTAATATTTCCACCGGGAGCAATGGTCACCGGGTTGGTGAGATTGAGGTAGCCGGCACATCCGAGATTCTCATAACTCTGCTGCCATCGCACCAGGAGAAATTCGTATAAATTCGGCACCGCGGGACCTCCGGGATTGTTAACAAAGGCCGTCAAGTAGGATTGCGCCGTCACCAACCCAGTCAGTCCGGTATTCACCAGATGACCGCAATAGTCACCGGTGCTGGCCAACAAGGTCAGAGGCTGAAACACACCCACACGGTATAAATTCAATTTTGGCAGCCCGCCGGCAGACACCATGGGGTCTCCCGACGGCACCAGTGCGACGGGATCGGTTTGTCGCACCGCGGCCATGATTTCGTTCAGAGGCAAGGCATTGATTTTCGGTCCGCAGGGATCGGCCAAGTCAGTCACCTTCCAAGTACTGCAATTCAACGCCGGAGCAACAAAGGCGTCCAAAAGCAGATTGTCCGAGCCATTGTTGAGAATTGTTGCGTTGGGATGTTTGGCTCGATTGGCAGTCGTGTCCTGGGCCGTTTGGTTTCCTTCCAACAGGTAAGTCGTAGGCAAATTATCGGATTGGTCTTGATCCACCAAACGAAAGTCGCGCGTGGTTGGACACGGTCGGGAGTCTAAACCGACACCCAGATCAGGAACCTGCAAATGTCCCCACAGCCCGCCGTAAAAGGCGCGTTCGAAAAACGGCGCTGCATGACAGTAGGCAAATTGACCAAACCCTTGCACACACTGCGCAAGGTGCAAGGTCTGACCTTGATGACGGTCCACCAAAGTCACATTGGCCGCATTGCTTCCAAACCAAATCGCTACCACAGACCCGCATGGAATCTCGGGTATGACCGGTGTCTCCAACGGCACCGTTCCAGACTGAATGACCAATGGATTGTAGGCCAAAATCTCAAAGCTTGGAGTGATGACCGCGGCTTGTGCAAAAGTGCTGGTATCAGGGACCATGCTGCATCCGGAAAGCACATACGGAGTGGCCAGACCCACCGCGGTCAGCGGGTCATCCGGGATCGTTAAAATGCATTGTCCACCCGTGTGGGCGACCCATAAAAGCGGCAAAAAGATCATTTCCACGAACAAGACCATCCTGCTTAATTTTTATTCTGGAGTAGAAGTAGACATAATGTGCTGCTCAATCTGCGGCCTTTCCGAAAAGCACGACGTGCATAATGTCCGCGCCATTATCGAGTACCGCGGTCAACTGCTTTTCGGGCGCAGCACCGATTTCGACGAACTCGCCTGTCTTGGAGGAACCGTCAAGAAAAAAGAGACGCTTCTCGACGGGCTGAAGCGGGAGCTCGAAGAGGAAACCAAGGGTCTCATTTCCGGCCATGAAATCGATCGCATCAAGCATCGCATCCTGCAATTCGGCCCCTTTGTGGATCACTTCACTAAAAAGACCAAGCGCGGCATCATGAACTTCCGGGTGTTTCTGTTTTATTACCTCATCAAGTTGGACGACCTGGACCCCCCGCAACATTGGATGACCTTTCAAGACCAATTCGAACGGCGGAAACTGGTCAGGAAATTCAACATCAAACCCTGCTGTGAAATGTCGGAGCTGGTGTGGATCCCCAAGTTCCACCTGTTTGACCTTCACGACCATTTCTTTGCCCGCGATCATGAAATATGTATTAAAAACTTGGGTCTATTCCAAGATTCTGCAGTGCTTGATAAGAAGCAAGTTGCTCTGCCTCTGTCTTCCTGAACGACATACCACGTCCAATCACCACATTCTCGCCTCGACAGTCAAACCGTCGTGTCACCGCGGGAGAGAAATGCTGTTTTAACAAGGACCGCGGGAACACCACCCCACGACAAAACATTTTGGGTCCAGCCCCTGCAGCAGGTTCTGTGGCTCCTGCGGTTCCTGCGGTTCCTGCGGTTCCTGCGGTTCCTGCGGTCCCCACCGACTCCATGGGCAAGTCGGTATACACCGGATTGGCCCACCGCCGGCTTTGGAAGAAGCGCTGCAACGTGTCCTTATGGTTTTCATTCGTCGAAATCAATTCGGTGAAATCCACATTAGTTTCAATGACCCGCACAATAAACCGGTAAGCCATCTCGAACCCGCGAACGGGCCCGAGATCGCAAATCATCGCCCCAATCAACGCCTCAAAGCAGTCCTCACTCAGTTTCGGATTGTCCCGCCCTTTGCTGACGCCCGTTAAATGCAAGGCTTCCATTTGCGGGCTTAATAAAATGTATTTCTTCAACCCGAACACCCCTGCAAACACCGCCAACATATTCGAACGCACCAGACGCGCCCGTATTTTGGTCAGGAAACCTTCCTGCTCGTCTGGAAACCGTTCAAACAGGTAGTGACCCACTACCGCTCCTAGAATACTGTCGCCCAAATATTCCAACCGTTCATTCGATTCCCGCGGCGTGTACGGGAGTTCCGGGTCGGCATGAAGTAAAAACGATTTGTGCACAAAGGCCTTTTGGTACGTAGCCAATCGTTCGGTCGATATCGGGCCCGCGGTCCATTCGGGTCCCAAAATGGCATTTAAAGCTTCCGCGGTCAATAAGTAGTTGTCCGTCCCAGAGTGATTTGCATAGACAAAATCGTCCAGCTCAAAACAAAATCGTCGCGACTCCATAAGGTTTTTATTTATAGAATGGGAATCCAACGCTTTTTGTGTGCGTTCCAGAGACACGGTATATAGACATACATCGTGTCGTGGACATCAAACAATTCCCTCAGTTCTCGCGCAGTCTTCAAATCCGGTATGTATGCGGGAAGCGGCTCTCCCGCAATGCGGTACACCTCCGGCAATGAAGTCTTTTCCAGTTTATGGGTCACCCTATCATCCCGGGGTGGCTCCAGTTGGTGCATCTTCAACAAACAGGTCATCAAGCATGGCGACACACTGTCCTCCAAAATGTCCAGGTCCACGGGGTCCGACGTGTTCACCGGCTCTTCGATATGGAGATGGGTCGTTGTTGGAGATGTAGAATGAGTGGTAGAATCAGTGGTAGAATGGGTAGTAAGGAATTGATGGATCAAGTCCTTAGCGTGTTGGTGCCGTTGCATCACCGTCAACCCAGGGATCATCACGTCCTTCAATGTCCACGTCTCTAGGTCCACAAATCCACACAGCCAGCCATCATACCCGCGGAAACACATATCCACTTTTTGACGCGGTTGATCCCGCTGCAACAACCATGAAGACTGAGATGAAATGAATAATAGAGCCGGTCGGGTTGATTTGCTCACACACCACATCCCTTTACCTATGTATGATCAATTATTTTTTTTCGCCACCACCACGTTCGTTCGTTTAAACAGGTCGTCCCACAATCCCGCGATCTGTAAATGGAAAGCCGGGATTTGTGCTTGCACATACAGAGTGACTTCCGTGGGTTCGGGCGCGTAGCTTTCGTCTCCAAGGGTTTTGGCAATGGCATTGTAGGCGGTCACTCGTTGGTACAATTGACGATCCGCGGACACATACAACGGTTCGTGTAGCATGCCCGTCAGAAAGAGCTCCCGTTCATAAACTCCAATATCGGCCACGCGACATTGACATTCTTCCAAGACCAAGACCGCGGTGCACATGTCGGTGATGCGCTGCACGGATTGGAAAACCTCTTGTGGCTGGTGGTAATAGCATAAATGTAATAAGCGGGTCAACAGCAGCTTGTACATGATCCGGAATTGCCACCGGAACGTCTCCACATTCTTCCACACTTCGCGGTCACTGAAAATAGGATTTTGCAACGCCTCAATAAAGCTGTTCCACTGAGAAGCCAGGTCTTCGTACAGCATACCCTTTCGAATGAGCTCGTGCAAGTGCACCAGTTGCGATTTGTAGCGCAGCACAAACTTGCGCATCATCACCAATAAATCAGGGTCAAACCGCGATTCGTATAATCGGAATTTCGCATACTGCTTGTCCCGCAACTTGCCCACGGCGGCCATGGCCTTTTGAATCTCATCTTGTTGCAGGTCTTGGAGGGTCTGAGCGGCCTGATCCGGCGTCAATTTACAAGGGTCGTCGGGATTGGAGGGTGGGCCATTCGGTTGTTTGGTCACTCCATTCAACATCTTTTGCAGCGGTCCCGTCTTGTCCAAGTTCTGGGTCAGACATCGACACACTTCCGCGGAATGCGCCATCTTGAGTTCATTCAGCAGCTTGACCACCTTATAGACAGCATGGCCCAAAATCACATACTCTTGTGTCTCTTTTGAGTGCTGAAACCCCATCGTCGTTCGTTATACTCGTTATACTACTACTTTAAAATAAACTGGACTGGCCAAATGCATTCTCCAGCGCAATCGTCATGTACAGGAAACCATCCTCATCGCGGTGCTCGTTATAGATTCGACTCAGACTAGCACTGCTTGCGGGCATCACCGTGTTTTCAATACCAACCAAGAGAAACATCCCCCTCCGTGGATCAAGTTTAATCCTCTTCCGTAATACCGTCATAAACTGACTCACCGAAATTTCACGTGGCACCAAATATTTGTACCGTTCCAACACCACGTCTTTGGAACGCATCACCACCGGGATGTGTTCCGGAAAACGTTCGCAAACGGTCGTTGATTGACGCACCCGTTGACTCAAGGAACATTCCTCTCGAATCTTGAACTCGCCATGGTGTTTGCGGCCCCACATACCCTGATACTTTCACGTGCAGAAAAAAATGGGCAAGGCACCCTTCATTTCTTGCACAGGATATGCTCCTTGAAATACTGGCCATACGCATCTTTGAACACCGTCCGAGTGTTCATGCCCAACACCGATGTGCCCGGCTGCGACCAGCGGTTGGACTCCCGCCAGGGTGGAGTGTAAACCCGCTGCAAGCGAGAAATCTTGGTTTGTTCTGGGTCTTGCAACGTCGTCCCACAATAATCAATCGATTTCGACGACTCGGTCACAAACCGCGGCAGTCCCGGTGGACAGGCATTTCGATTATTCAAACACGGTTCGCCCGTAGGCCGGGCTCCATATCGAAAGAAAGTATTCACATCAATCAACTCCGCGGGACTGGCATAGTACGGGCGCTGAAATTTGAAGCCGTCGTTGCATTTCTGCAGCACGGAGCTGTCCAACACCAGTTTGCCGGGTTCGGTGGATATTTGCTCTTGGCATTCAATCTTCTTGAAACCAGTGGGGATGTTGAATACACACGCTGGAGGCTGAATGGGACACGACATTTAGTTTAGCGTTATGTTTTTAAATTTGCAATACTGGTCCAGCAATCGATACCGCGCCTTTTCAGACATCGTCATGACAGGGCTTTGATCAATAGCACGTAGATAATCCAAGTAGCCGCTACAGGCTGCCAAATCGGACATCACTTCGTCCAAGTCCATGGTCTTTCGTGGGTGCTGGCGTCGACACAACCATACCCACAGCAACACCGCCAAAAGCACCCAGGTCAACCACATGCTGCTTTGGTTCTTAGAAGTTGTAATAGTCAAAAGCTTGCATGTCGCGGTCAAAAGGTCGGATGGGAGTGGGTTCAATCAACGGGTTGTCGCTAGTCAAGCCCTGGCTTTGCACCTCTCGATTGCATGATCGACGGATCTCCACCAGATAATACGTCAGGATCTCTTGCAACTTGCGCAGCACTTGCTTCAATTGTGTCACCAAGACCGGGTTGTCCAAAACATAGACGAACGAATGCATGTAATTGACCGCCAAACCCGCTTGCTCCTGTGCCACCTGATAATTCTGCACACAGTTGCTCAGACCTTGTTCGGCATCACTGTATATTTGCAACACATGGTTGCTCGCCATCACCGAATTCTCAAACGCGTCTCTGTTGATGTCCATCCACGGCAACAAGGAGTAGTACAAGTTGATGAGATCCACCGAGATATAAAAATGATCCGGGGTCCCCAACGCCTGCAATTTGGCCTCCATCGTGCGATTAAAGTCATCCGTTTCCGACCGCGAATACCAGTACAACCCATAAGTGACGGCCAATATCAACACCAGCGCAAACACATGAGCCACTCCAACTCGCAAGACCGAAACCGACATCCACACAATCACTACGGCAATGACCGCATACACAAATGCATCGTCCACGCCGTCAATGATCATTGCCACCGTGTTTGATGTTACATCCAGGAAGAAGTTTTTCATCGGGTTCAAACATTTTTCCTCAAGGTTCAAGATATACATGGACAACAAGCTGATTCTGGAACTCCTGATTTGCTCCGCCTTGATACTGACCATCCGTTACGCGAAACCGAGCCTCATCTTCACCACTCACGGATCGCCCCGGCCGTTTGGAGTGGGATATACCAGCACCGGCCATCGCAAAACTCTCTTTCATTGGTCCCTGGTCATCACCGCGGTTGCATTGTCCACATTCGCAGTCGTGCAAATTTTCCTTTGACATAGTCAATATTATGGCCTCATCCAAGGTCTTCATAGACAAATTCGACCCCACTAAAATGGAACCCAAATCCGTCGTTGTCATCATTGGCAAACGATGCACCGGTAAGAGCTGGCTGGTCCGGGATCTCTGTTATGTCTTTCGCAAGATACCTATGGGCACCGTCATCAGTCCCACCGAATCGGTTGCTCCCTTCTTCAAGAGATTCTTCCCCGAAGTCATGATTCACGACACCTTCAATATGCGCGTCCTCGACAATCTCATGACCGCGTTAGAAAAGCGCCAAGCCAAAAAGGCCGGCCAGCTGGGCCTGCAGGACCACTTTGCTTTGATTATGGACGATTGCATTGCGGAAAACAGGCAGTGGAAGAACAGTGAGACCATCCGCAAGATCTTCATGAATGGTCGACATACCGCCCTGCTATTCATCTTAACCATGCAACAAGTCCTCGGCATTCCACCCTCCCTCCGAGACAATATCGATTACACCTTCATCTTCAAGAACAACATCCTTCGCGAGCGCAAAAAGATCTGGGAAAATTATGCCGGCGTCATCCCCACCTTTGCTCTCTTCAATCGCCTCATGGACATGGCCACACAGGATCACCGCTGTTTGGTCGTCTGCAACAATAGCAACTCGAATAAAATGGAAGACAATGTCTTTTGGTACAAGGCCGAGGATCACGCCCCCTTTCGATTTGGTTCCTCGGACCTGTGGCGTTTCAATGAACAACACCTGCGTCGTGATTCGGCGTCAGCGAGCATGGACGATTCAGACATGGTGGTGCTCAAACGTTCAGCATCCTGATCAACAGAAGAATGGAACCTACGGCAAATTTGGGAAATCAATGTATCTTCCATGTGTTGTTGACATTTATTTCAACACGCGTTAAATCGGAGGTGGGTAAATGGTTTGGATGGTCATGTTTTCCGGCATGCTGGCGAGATAGATCAAACTGGCCGACACCAAGGCCACAAATATCGACACTTTGATGCAGTAGCCCATGGAGACGGACGTCTTCTCCTGTCGACTCAAAACAAACAAGGTGATGGCCGTCAAGACAAGCACCGCCGGGATGATGATTTCGTATCGAAGCAACTGACTTTTGTCCATGTTTACATTAGCGGCCAAAAATGATTGGGTTCACCCCCGCGTTTACCTTTTCGCTGATGATATCATTGGATCTGTTTCGAAATCCGCATCGTCAAACAACTCGATCTGCTTCTTTAAAATGGGTCTCAGCGGCAACACCTGCTGCTGACTTGGTTCGCGGGCTACTATCGGTGGTCCTTCTTCAATGTCCTTCAATTCTTCGGCATCCTCCAAGGTGCTGCCTTCCAAAATGTCCACGATGCTGGTTTCCGGTTCGGGTGTCGCCGCAGGCTCGCGTTCAGGCTCGCGTTCAGGCTCGGGCTCGCGTTCGGGCTCGGGTTCGGGCTCAGGTTTGGTCGCAGGTTTGGGGTCAGGTTTGTACGATGCAAACTGCACATCCCCCGTAGGTTGCGACTCAACGGGATTAAGAATTTCCATGGTTTCCAAGTCTGCCTTGAGATGCGCATCGGTTTCAGCCATCGTGACCGCGGGTTCCGCGATGTCCGCGGCCGTATCATCAAATATAATTTCCATCGGCACCAATTCTCGCACCGTTTCCTCAATAGAACTGTGGATGAGTTTAACCGCCTTGTTATAATTGCCTTCAATCTCAGAATAATTAATGTGTTCCAAGCGGTCCTCAAACAAACGTGTGTTGGACCATAGATTGCGCGCACAGTTTTGATAGCAGACGTGAACAAACTTCTTGGAATCCGGGACTTGGATTTTCAGTTTGCGTTCCGCGCGGTGAATGATGGCTAATATCTGCGTCGACAGCACAAAGATAACCTCAATTAATTTCTCAAAGTATTTACACCCTGATTTATCCAGGATTCTGCGGTACTCGTGATCAATGATATCCGAATTCCACTTGGGAATCAGGCGCAACAGATTCTGGAACTCGAGATAGGCTGCCCGCGGGTTTGTCCGGCGGGCCCGTGTCCACAGCAACTTCAGTCCTTCATAGAGACCGGGCATAAGAACCCGGACGAGCTTGAGCGTGTATTCTTGCTTCGCTACAATAATCAAGGATTTATCACCCGCAGTCTCCATTTGTTTGTTCCGCTTGGTTTTTAATTGCACTTACCAAAACGCACGAAGTTGCGCTTCCAGCACATAGATTTGCTCCCGCAACTCGTCAATAAGGTCTTGTCGGCTCACTTGCAACACCGTGGCGGCCACCGTCGGGTCAGGGTGATTCAGTCCTTGCAGTCGCTGCAATGACCGAATTTGGGCCCGCAGTGTGCGCATTTTCTTGAAGACATTGTCTGCGGGATCCATCACGTGGTAGTGATTATTGATGGTGATTAAGTTGTTGTTGTTGGTGGTTGTTTTCTGGGTGGTGGTCGATTACTTGAGCAGTGCTTGCAGAGTAGCTTCGTATCGTGAAATGTAGTCCTCCGGTCGATGCAACCCGCTGGCATTCCATTTCTCCCGCACTTGCATTTTATTCGCCCGCGGGATGAGTGAAATGGCTTTTTCAATGTACTCGTCCGCGGTTTCTGCCACACACTCTGCGGTCAAGCCCAAGGCATTTAGAATACTGCCAGAGACCCGCGTAACATGCTGAGATCCCGGTGGGCAATGAGTCACTACGGGAACATTCATGTAAAGCGCCTCGGTGGTGATGGTCGTTCCAGAGTAGGGCCACGTGTCCAAATGGATGTCAATCGACTCATAAGCGTCCAGATGCTCAGAGTATTCGAGTGTGCCTATTATGCATTCAATTTGCCCGCGAACCTCGGGGAAAAACATTTTTTTAAACCGCCGGATGCGATGCGGGTCCATAAACACCTGGGATTTGACTCGCAGCTTCGCCCCCGGAACTCGTTGCAGCAATCTGGACCATACCTCCACCACTTCCACATTGATTTTCGGTAGCTTGCAAAAGCATCCAAACACGGGCTTCTCCGGGTCGTATTTATCGTAATTTCGTCCCGCACGGGATTCACGAGGGGTGAAACAAAGGAAACATCCCGGCATCAACATTCGTCGGGAGTCCAAAAGGGTGGGTTGCTCCACGGGGTCCACACCTTCAGTGTAGGCATCCGTGATTCTGATTTCACCAGCCAGTCCCGTGATGTTTGGATAACCGAGAAAACTCACCAACCGCGGGGCAGGTCGTTGTGCAAAGACATCCAGACGGTTATCGGCCGTATGTCCACTCAAATCCACCAAGATGTGGATACCATCCTGGCGTATCTGTGACACCACCGTCTGGGTGTCAATGCCTTGAATCAACCGGAAGCCCGTACATCGGAGCTGCGAATTGATGTCGGTATTGTAAACGCGGTTGCAATAAATGAAGATTTCAAACCGGGAATGATCCGCATGACTCAACAACACCTTGGCAAACATGGAGACCGCGTGACTGTAAAAGTCGGACGAGACATAACCCACGCGAATCTTGCCGTTCAGGCTTACCGGAGTGCGTGGACTGGGATACAGCGCATTCGGATACATGGCGCGAAAACAGGCCTCATGCAACGAAACCCACCCCGGGTCCATTTCCACACCAAACTTGCTTTGGATTTCGGATTTCAAGTCAGTCTCCGAGTCACGGACATAGTGAACGTTTAGTAGCAAGTTCTGGTGAGGGATGGGGCTAAAACTCGCCTTCCCTGGATCGCGGATGGCTTTCATGTACAACCGAATGGCGCTGGCATAATCGCCTTGCACCGATATCAAATGGCCCTGGTTGAGATATATGCTGCTCTCCGTATCGGCATCGCCCGGTGGGTACGACAAGGCTTTGAGAAAGTAATAGTCGAGCTTGTCAAAGTCGCCATACTTGACATGTTGGATTTGATTCACTCCTAGTTGATTCCACAACTTGGATTCGGTCGGAAGATGGTCCAACCCATTGCGCAACAACTCTTCCTCCTGTTCAAACTGTCGTGTGGTGTGATACACGTTGGACAAACCCAAGTAAGCATTCAAGAACCGTGGATGATGAGCTATACATTGCGAATAATACTCAATCGACTTGGGATAATCCCGATGCAATTTGTGGTAGAGGTAACCCAAGTTATTCAGCACTTCCGGAGCCTGGGGCATCATTCCATACGCTCGGTGCATGTAGTTGAGCCCATTGCCTTCGTCCAGACTCGTCAAGACTTCCAACGCTTTGACCGCTAGTATTTTGGCCTCCGAGTGCAGATGTGCCCACAACAAGAAGGTCTGGTAATGCTGAAACACCCGCTCCTTTCGTTTGTACCGGCAGTCCAACTCAAAGTCAGGAACGGTGATCTCCAACATGCGTATGAACCGCTGATTGACCTCTTTCTCCATCTTTCATACCCATCCGGAAAAAACCTCTTGGCCTGCGTCAACCCAACTTTTTTTTATCTGAGAATAACCAAATAGAGAATGCCAGTTCTTTCCGACAACGTGTTTCTACAGGTCCTGCTCGTTCTCTTTGTCATTTGGCTCATCTACCTCATCGTAGCCAGTTCTCAAGAGGGCTGGGAAACCGATGGCCCCAAGTCACTGGACGATACCGACAAACTGGCCGATCCCGCTTGTCCTTCTGGAGACAACTGGAAACCCATGCGCGATCCCCACAAATTCCCTTACGGTCGCTTCACTCCGACTGGGGAAACACCCATCGGTGGCATTCCAAGTCTTCCCCAGATTACCAACACCTCTGTCGCTCCGGCTTGGGACCCTGCCGCTGACACTCAAGCCGCACCCTTCCAAGCAGCACCTGCCGGTATGCCTGCTGCCTCGGATTGCTCGCCGGCGTGTGCCAATGTGGACTACAACCAAATCTTCTCCAAGACCGGTCTGCAACCCAGTGACCTCATTCCAGGAATCAGTCCCGAGGTCGCCAGTTTTGCCGGCGAGGCCGACCCCAGTCAAAATGGCAATTTCTTGGTCACCGAATGGTCCGCAGGTCTGCCCACTTTGAGTCTGCCTTCTAGATACAACTCTTTGGACCTGCGTGCCGTGCCGCCCAACCCGCAAACCCCAGTAAGCATTTTTAACACGCCCACCATCACGCCCGATTTTTCCAGACGTCGCTTGGAAATCGTGTAACCCTGTTATTTTGTTGTCCCGCGGGACAAAAAATAGGTTTTTTCTGTGGACCCACGGGTCCAATGACCTAAGGTTTGCTGAGGTTTGTCTGAGCACAATGAAGATCAGTCAACCCACAGACACGATGCATCCACAGCTGTTGTTGCGTTATCAAATCTGCCTGTTACTGGGACAAGGAGGCTTTGGCCAAGTCTACCTCGGCCAACGTCATGCCGATCGCCAAACGGTGGCCATCAAGTGCATTTATCGCAAACAGATTTGCGATTGGAGTCGTGACCCAGATTTGGGGGTCGTGCCGCTTGAAGTCTTCATGATCAAGAATGTAAGTCTTGATGATGATGATGATGATGATGATGATGATGATGATGATGATGGTCATGGTGGTTGTAGTGATCTTTGCTTTGCATGTTTTGCTTGCTTTGCATGTTTTGCTTACTTTGCTGTGCTTGCTTGGCTCGTTGACAGACATCTGCGTTTTCATTTCTAGCTCAGTCATCCGAATATCATTGAATTCGTCGACTACTTCAATGATGACTTGGATGCTTGTGTCTACTTGATCACCACCGTACATGGTTGCATGTGGTCCTGCCCCACGGCCTCCGGGCGTGATTTATATGCATTTATTGAATCCCGCGGTGGCATCTGTGAAAACGAGGCCAAAGTCATCTTTCGTCAACTCTTGCAAGTGGTTCATCATCTGGACACCCGCGGTATCGTCCACCGAGACCTCAAGGACGAAAACATTCTCATCGATGAGAACCTGCACATCAAGGTGATTGATTTTGGGAGCGCCGCTTTCGTTGGCAAACCCTTCAACCACTACCGCGGGTACGTTTCCATGCAAAGTCAAGGTTCAACCATTCAACCGAAAACATCCTTTGCAGAACCATCCAATATGCTTCTCCTGAAGTCTTGCAGTCACAGTGTTATCATGGGCCTGAATTGGAGATCTGGAACTTGGGCTGCATTCTCTATATCATGTTGACGGGCGAGCTCCCGTTCGATAATGCAGCACAAGCCATCCAAGGAGACATTCAATGTCCCCGATGTCCCATTTCTGACCACTGTCAAGACCTTCTAGTACGCCTTCTACACCCAAACAAACAGTTTAGACCTGACTTGCGAGAAGTGGAACGTCACGAGTGGGTGTTGTAACGATGTTTAAGGGTAAATAAAAGTTGTAGTGCTTTAAACAAAAGCATGTTGCCCGAACCTCTCTTGACCGTCGACCCGAACAGGGTCGCATTGTTCCCCATCGTCCACACCGATGTCTGGAATCTGTACAAGAAGGCCGAAGCCAGTTTCTGGACCGCCGAAGAAGTCGACCTGGCCCGAGACCTCCCGCATTGGAAGGACCGACTCCATGACGACGAACGACTTTTTATCGAGACGGTTCTGGCCTTTTTTGCCGCTTCCGATGGGATTGTGAATGAGAACTTGGTCAATCGGTTTTCCAACGATGTGGCCATTCCCGAGGCCAAATGCTTTTACGCCTTCCAGATCGCCATGGAAAACGTTCATGCAGAAATGTACTCGTTGCTCATTGAAACCTATGTCCAGGACCCCGAGCGCAAGTCCTTCCTTTTTGATGCCATCGAAACGCTGCCGTGCGTCAAGAAAAAGGCACAGTGGGCCCTGAAATGGATTGAAGACCGCGAAGCCAGCTTTGCCTCCAGATTGGTCGCATTTGCTGCAGTAGAAGGCATTTTCTTCAGTGGGGCCTTTGCCGCAATCTTCTGGCTCAAGAAACGAGGGTTGATGCCGGGCCTGACCTTTTCAAACGAACTCATTTCCAGAGACGAAGGTCTTCACTGCACCGCGGCGTGCTTGCTGTATAGCAAATTGCAGTCCAAACTGTCGGCGGAAACCGTTACGGCCATCATTGTCGAGGCCGTGGGAATTGAGCAAGAGTTTTTGACCGATGCGTTGCCCGTGCGATTGATTGGCATGAATGCGGATTTGATGAGACAGTACATTGAGTTTGTTGCCGATCGCCTGCTGGTGGACCTGGGATGCAACAAGCATTACGGGTGCGAAAACCCCTTTGACTTTATGGAGATGATTAGTCTACAGGGCAAGACCAATTTCTTTGAGAAACGGGTGGGCGAATACGCCAAAGCCGGTGTGGGTCAATGGCAGGTTCACAAAGTGTTCACCTTGGATGAAGACTTTTGAACGATGGTGAAGAACCTACATGCTGAGGTGCGCCTACGTTTTGACATGTGAATGCTCAAAGCGCGTTCCAACAGACGCAACGGTTCAACCCGCGTGATAATTTGAACATTCAGAAACTGTGGCATTCTGCCACAGTTACAAATTTGACGCTGTCCAGGTCGTGACATTCATGCCACAACCAAGCAAAATCGTGCGTTCCGCATCTTAACCCACCGAATTGAATACAGCCGTGCCATTGATGACCTGTCCCGATACATACACGGTGCCTGCGCCATCGGCAACAACGTCTACAGTCTCTCCGGGCGAAAGTCCATGCAACGCGACTTGGTTGTTTGGCTGATTCGGATCGTTGGCAATCACGTGACCGCTCGATGTATTGAAAGTACCATAAATGTTGCCATTGAAATCGATTTCTACATCGGATTGAAACACTCCAAATACAAACTGCAGCCTGGTGGGCGAAGTGAATGAGGGCAAATATAAACTAAAGATGTCCCCTACAGCATGAATCAAGTATGTTTGGTCATTGGTGTCTGGCACATTGTAAGAATTGACGTCGTTGGACCCTTGAACCACCGTCACCATACCACTTCCACCGCCGCCTCCGATGGCTTGTCCTCCAACCATCAGTTGACCGGGACTAGGGGCAGTGACAGTGTAACCGCTTAAAATGAGTGCACCTGCTTCTGAAGTAATCTTAGCTGCTGCTTGCATGCTTTACATAGATGAAGCAAAAAAAGAGTGGTTGATCTCCGAAGGTGACCCGCACTCCATCCCACTCCATGACACCATAATCGCCACTCACACCAGTC